ACACACACACACACACGTTGTGGCCAAATGCAAAGGACCAAATATCAAAATAGCACACTGATCGCCCTGATTCGATCAGGTCATCGGGGTTTCTGAAGCATCAGCTGCTTGCAGATATCACGGCCATTTGTCAAATATTGATGATGACGACCACACCCAACACTTTTCACGACTGAAGTCCTAGGCTCCATAATTTTATCAGGAGGATAACAACTGAAATCCCATGATCCGGGTTAAAAAAATCAAACCAAACGATTTTGCTCCAAATGTCACGTCGTAGGTTAAATAGTTGACGATAACTGGTAACGGGTTCGCGAAACGCTCAGCGGAAAAGTGCATGCAAGACCTCTTCCATAAAACAGGTTGGACCATTTTTTCATTGACATGACGAACAATTGAAAAAACATTAATGGAAGACTAACGTATTCCGACGATAATGCTGAAAATGGATCCTTCTGGGGGTGAAAAAGGCTCCGTATGACTCGACAAATGTTTGTATTCGATAGGAAGGCGGGAATACATGTTGTAGGGTATACAGTTATAAACGGTGAAATAATGGAAAAGATGATGACTGAAGGACTTTGACAATAAAACATTCTGGACCTAATTTTTTAATAACACCAACCAAAACCGGCGCACGAAAGTGCATTGTTCAACAAACTCAAACCTTATATTATTCCCTTATTTCTCTCAATATCTTTTTATATTTCCTGAAGAAGACATTGTTATCCGCCTTTTTCTTACTAGGATTCGGTGAAAAAACTCATGCAGTTCCCCGTACCAAAGGTGTCTTTCATACGTTCAATATGCCATCAGTAACCTACCGTGCAAACAGTCAGTCCACAATCATTTTTGATCGTTATTATTTCCATTTTATTCATTTGAGATCTACACACTTGTTTTCCTTCATGTTGCCGCACCTAATCAGACATTGGACAGTTGATTTTTATTCATTTCTTCATTAGGTGCAACGGAATTTCTTAAAGTATTTGAGTTTTATTCTCCGTCTCAAGTTCAAAAAAATATTCGTGGTAGAAACGCCATCCACACATAATTTAGATCACGTCACCGCATTCTATCTACAACACCAATGACAACGACCTAACGCTAACAGTTTCTCCATTCCTTGAATAGTTCGGCATCCTTTTCACATCGATTCTCATCCTAAACACATTTTCATAGCCTGGTTATCTTTGTTTCTCCTACCGTAGCGCCATTATCATCAAAAGTGTGATGGAATTGAAGTGAACCCAATCTAAGGTGTCTTGCAACGATAATTGTGCTCCCCAATTCATCTAATTCAAATTCAAATTTTTATTATGGGTAAATTACAAAGCTCATGCTCAGCGAATCCCATAGGGTCTGTACACACTGGGTTCGGTTGGTAGTA